GCAGTAGGCGCCCACACGATTGCGGACTGCACTCAGTATACGGCACTGCTACACAGGCGTCTCTTTGCCACGTGTATGTGTATTCAACCACCTCCAGCCCCCCAATACTCGTCTCAATAGGGTACACCCCCTTGCAATCCCCAGCTCGCATGTACGACGTACCAACCGACGCCAACCACCTCCCCCTCACCTGCCGCCGTACGGCAGCCCGCAGATACGGATCTCATCTCCGCCACACCACTACTAAACACCAACACTTCGTAGCCCATCCACCCCATCAGCAACACCGCCTGCTGCTCCTGCTCCTCCTCCTGCCCTACCCGCCTTACCTCCGCCGCCACCACCTCCACTCGCCGCCGCCGCCGCTCGCGCCGCTTCCACTGCCTTGGCGGCCGCCAGCTTGACTCGTGCGGTGGCCGGGTACACCGCGTCCCAGGACTGCTCGTCGGGTTTGTCCGTGTCGGGTACGGTGGCCTGGTCGGCGGAAAGCGGCTCGGCGAGCAGCTGGGCAGCAGCCGGGTCGGCGGGGTCCACCTCCTCCGTCAGCGGCTGTGTGGCGTGGGTGTGCGACGCAGAGGGGGAAAGGGGCGGGACAGGTCGTCGGCAAGCTTGCACGCGGTGCCTGCGAAACGCGTATAACTAGCCCCGTTGTGGTACAGTCCGCATCTCCGCAACCGCCAACCGACAAGCAAACCGTTCCTCCATTCGCGTCTGTCCCAGACCCAAACCCAAACCCCTTACCCCACCCTCACTCCCCCCCCAGACTTATATACGTTTTTCCCCCCAGACCAGTTGCTGCACTTCTCATTGATTTTCCGCCTCCACCCCACCTCCAGGTTCACGGTGGTGTCCAGGTCATCCAGGTACAGCAGCGCCGTACGCTCGTCCGACTCGTCGTCTTCCTCGCCAGTGGCGCCGCCGCCGCTGCCGCCGCCGTACACCGCCGCGTTCACCCGGCGCAGGTAGGCGCGGCGAGCGGCGAGCGCGGCTCGCTTGCGCTTCATGGCCCAGACGCGCCAGGAGAGGTACTCAATGCGGGCGTCGCGCTCGACTTGGGAGTCGCGATTGGCGCGGGAAACCTGGCCGGGAAAGTGGAGGGGAAGAAGGGTGTGTTTTGGTGGTGGTGGAAGGGCGCGAGGTATGCAGATAATAAGCGGGAGGTTGGTACGCGTAGGGGCATGCACGTTAAGAGTGGCGCATGTGCAAGAAGGCTCCGGGACGGCCGCAGGGTGGTGTAAAAGGAACGGCGAAGTGTGGACTACCGGTCAGGCCGAACGTGAACCATGGGTCGGTCAGCTTAACGCTGGAACCATGGGTCGGTTGCACGATGCCAGTTCGGAGCAGGCAAGTAAGGCAAGAAAAAAACGTGCAAGAACAAGGATCATCCGCGACGGATGTACAACAAAGGCAAACAGCTCGCATGCTACCGATCGTTTCGCAAATGCGGCACAAGGCAGGTGACGGCGGCGGTGCGGGCGGCGACCTTGCACCGCCGCCGCGCCGCAGCAGCACCGGCGTGAGGGGGACCGCCGCATTTCCTAAGAGAAACAGCCATACTCTTCCTAACGCAGCACAACTGACACCCTCTTACGCCAATGAATACATAATCAACTCCGGTAAGGAGCAATGCGCACGAAAGGAGATACCGAAATCGAAGTACGCAAACGGGAGGAGCATTTGAGCTGCGGCATTTGACGGCATTTATCACTTCACCGAATGCCCGTCCGCCCGCCGCCGCTTGCTCACCTTGTTCCAAGACCTCCGCAGCGAATCTTCATCCAGGCTGAGGATCTGGTTCACATAGTACTTTGCGCAGATCTGTCGGTCGGCGTCGACCGCCTCCGGTACCGTGTAGCCGCTGCCGGCGGCACCCGTCCTCGCGGCCAATGCATCACGACTGCCGGCGCTGATCTGAGAGCGAGGGGCAGCGGGGCGGAAGTTGAAAGGAAGTTGAAACAGGAGAAAATGAGGCGAGAGAAGGCGAGCGGAAAGAAATAATAGCTTGCAAGAGACGTGCAAGAGCGGCAATACATCAGGACCAAAAAGGTAAACACAGAACAGCGCATTGCAGAGTCGCAGTTGCATTCTGCATGTGCATTGACGTCGCTGAATCCCTAGGATACTTCGTTAGGAACTTCGGGTGCGGTTTAGCTCTAGTGATCAAGTGACCCATGGGTCAGGCAAGCAAGCAACTAAGCTACCAAACTATGTCCATTTTACATACCAAACTAAGAGCAAAACATACCAGCGCTTCCAGATAGGAATCCACCCAGCTGTTGGCTGCCGTTGAGACGTTCATCCTTGCCGCGATACGCCGCAAGCGGCGGTGCGAGGACGGCGTCTAGGCGGCGTTAGCAGTCTTGGCAGTCGTGATGGGAACAATAGGGCGCAACAACGTCGTCTGAAGAAGGGCCGAGGTAGCTGAGAGGGTCCTCGCTCGGTGGTCGCGACGGGGAATATCACAGAGATTTGAGCGGATTTTAGGATAGTTCTTGAGCGTTGACTTCAAAATTGTGCCTTTGATGCGGTGCTAAGGTGGAGAGTGTTTGTAGGTAAAGGCAGCTGAGACAGGAAGGCAGGCATCGATGTATCGCCCGACTTTTTAGGTAGCCGTACATTACATGACTACAGACTTTGGACGCGACTTTGCGTTTTGCCTCCCCCGCCCGCCTCCGAACTCCGGAATACTCTAGAGGGTAGTCAAGCTTACGCCGTTTGGCGGTGTATGAAAAGAGGTTTGTGAGCTTACAGCCAGTCAATCGCTGGGCGCAATGCCCGGGTAGGTCAGGGTCCCATCGAGAAGGTGCAGCCGCCATTTTGAAAGCTGCTGGTTCCAACAACTTAGCCAAATAGCGAAGAAGCAAAACAGCCCAACCCCACAAACATGTCCTTTGCTGCCGCTTTCTTAAGGAACTGCCGTTCTCCATGTAAACGTGCGGACAGCACAACTAGTTCTAATTGTCAAAAAGGAAAGGCCACGGCCGCGTACCTTCCAGAATCATCCCTGAGCGTAGCAGCAAAAGCAATATTCCCATCCCTACTGTCTCTTTCTTCTAGCCGTTGAATTTGAACTTAAGGGTCAACAGGTCCAAACTACTCCGTTCCCGGTTCCAAGCTTCCCATTTGAAGCCATCCGGAACCAAACCAAACCGCATACAACTCCTCCTCCTCCTCCACAAACAAAGCCATCAGCCCTTTTACGCCTGGTGCCCTGACCGCTGTCCGGTAACACCCGTCGACCCACGGCTTCGTCTTGCCGGCATCCCCAGGCCCCAACTCCCATTTCTAGCCAAACCTTCGTCGACCTTAAGCCGCCTAAACGCCTCCCCTTCCCCTCCCCCTCTCCAAACCCCTTTCTACCCGCTCAGCTAGCATCCCACCCGCCCTCTCCACCCCATCCCCCACACACCACCCCCTCCCCCTCACTTCTCATTTACAGGTCCAATCCCTCCTCCTCCTCCCCCTCCTTCTCCTCCTCACAGCCCCACTCCCAGCTGCACCCGCACCGCCTCCAGAAACCCCTCCGGCGGCCGCCCCCCCAGCGCCCCCTCCTGCTCCCCCAGCGCCTCCCGCAGCCGCCCGCTGCCCACCAGCGCCGCGGAGGGCTCAGCGAATCGCCGCAGCAGGCAGCGCAGCCACGCCAGCAGCAGCTGGGTGGCGCCCTCCGCGCGAGCAGCCGCCTCCTCGTCGCCCTCCTCGCCGCGGGAGGAGGAGGCGGCGGCCTCGGACTGGGCTGCGGCGCGGTTGAGGAGGCGCACGAGGCCAAGGTAGGTCTGTGAGGGGAGGGGAGGAAGGGAGGGGATAGGTGTGGCGGGTTAGGGGTAGGGTTGTGCGCAGGAGGACAGGCGGGAATGGGTAATGGGTGCGTAATGGCAGAGGGTACCCCGGTCGTGCACGATATGCATGCCGCTGTGCACCGGTCATCACGGACGCCTGCCCTCCCTCTTCCCTTCTCCCTCCCCCCCTTCCTCCCTCTCCCATGTTTGTACCCCATGATGAAGCCTTGTCATACAGCTCGTTAGTTTCCTCCTTTTTACCCCCCTCCCTCCCTCCCTCCCTCCCCCTCCCCTCCCCGCTCTCACCAGCAGCAGTGCGTCCTGCGCCAGTGCGCTGCTGCGCTCCAGCCGCCCCCGCACCACCTCCAGACACCGGTTGGCCTGCTCCACCTGGGGGGGTGGGGAGAGGGGGTTGGGTGGGGGAGTGGGGGGAAGGGGGGAAGGGGGAGGAGGGGCGTGTGGGGCGTATTAGGGCTGTGCTACGTGCCCGCTACCCAGGTCCCTCATCTGCACCCCATCCACCTTTCAACCCACTTCACCCCCTCTCCGACCCACATCGCTCCCGCCAGCCGCATCAGGGGGCACACCCTCCCCGCCCTGCCCCGCTGCACCCCTCACCACACACACAATCTCCCCCCCCGCCGCCTCCCCCCAGGGCTTGTCAGCTAGTTTACCACTATCACACCACACATTGGATATACTTTCTTTCCCCACCTGCGCCGCCACGTCCCTCTCCCGCTGCGCCAGTCCCGGTGCCCCCGCCGCCACACTTTGCAACACCCCCGAGTGGATGGCCTGCGGAGGGGAGTGCACATGGGGGCGAGTTGGGTAGGTGGGGTTGGGTGGGCTTGAACAAAGTCACCACTCCAAGGGGCATCATCCGCACCCAGCCGCCCTCCACCAGCACCCGTAGCGCACCAACTGGGGTGGGCGGGGCGGGCCTCCGACCCTCCTCCTCACAAGCCCCCCAACCCCACCTCCCCCCCCCTACCCCCCCCACCTGCAGCTGCGCCAGCTTCTTCTCCCACCCCTCCACCTCGCCCGGCAGCTCCCCCGGCATGCGCACCAGCCGGTCCAGGGCGTGCAGCAGCACCTCCCACGCGCCCCCGCACCGCACCGGGTCGTGGAAGCACCTGGGGGGGCGGGCGGGCCGGGGGGGCAGAAGCCGGACAGGGCAGCCGGGTGGGGCAGAAGCCGGGTGGGGGGAGTCAGGTCGTAACGTAGGGCAGAGAAGGGTCATGTCCTCATGTTTCGTACACCCGTGATGCAAACGTAACGGATGGAGCGGCAAACCAGGTCTTGGTAAGTTGGTAATAGCACATTGGTTCGGATCGAGTTCCATGCAAATAGTAGCAGCGACAACAACCGTGTGCAGCCTTCCAACACACCCACATGAGCGCGCAAGAAGCCTCCTCCTCCTCCGCCTCCTCTCGCGCGTCCTCCTCCTCCTCCGCTCCCTCTCCCTCCGTTCCCTCTCCCCGCCTCCTCCTGCCCGCCCCCCGCTGCTGCTGCGGCTGCTTGGCGTCCGCGAACAGCGCCGCCACGATGGAGGGCCCCTCCATCACGTGCAGCGCCAGCAGCCGGTCCACCAGCAGCAGCAGCCGCTGAGGTTCGCCGGAGTGGTAGTAGCGGACCATCTGGGGGAGGAAGGGGGGGGGGGTTAGCGCGCATGTAGGGGTGCATGGGGGCAGTGGGGTTGGGGGAAAAGGGAGGAGGGAGGGGACCGCCTCCACTGGGTCATCCGTCATCCACCACCCCTCTAAAACGGTCCCTCAACCTCACTGTTGTTAGTAGCAACAACCACTCGATGCCTCGAGTCCCCACCACCACCTCATCCATCCTCGCTCGCTCACCTCCATCATGGCCACCTGGCCGGGGCTGGCCCCCAGTGCCGCCGCCGTCGCCTCCCATGACCCATGGGTCAGCGCCCCCAGCGCCGCCGCATCCGCGTCCGCCTCCGCCAGCGTGGCCCGCACCGCCTCCGCGTACCGCTCCACCGCCACGTGCAGGTGGGAGGGCGACTTGACGCCCATGGCTAGCAGTAGCGTGGCCAGCACCTGCGGGCAGGCAGGGGGCATGCGGCGGATGGAAGGGGTGCGTGTGTGAGTGAGAATAGAACTGCGGAGTAGTGGGTAGTAGTAACGGTCAGTGCTGGGCGCTAGGGAGGAGAGTGAGACCGCAAACACGACCAAACGATCTGGTGCGGTTATGAAACTCAACACACGCCACCCCTCTTCCATACCCCTAATCTTACCCCTCCTTCCCCCCCACCCCACCACAGCCCCCCCCTACCTTGGGTGCCGCCAGCGGCCCCTCCTGCTCCGCCAGCTCCCGCCCATGCAGCTGCATCCACTCCACCACCTTGCTGCTCCACAGCGCCGCAACCTGCTCGGGGCGCAGCGAGCGGGCCCGTGTCACCGCAGCCACACCGCTCCCCTCCTGCCGGCACCACACCACCAGCCGGGCTGCCGTCTCCGCCACCGGGTCGCCAGCCCAGGGCGCAGCAGCAGCAGCAGCGGTAGGACCTCCTCCCTGACCGCCACCGCCACCACCCTCCACCGCCATGTCCTCAGCACCCCCTGCTGCTGCTGTTCCAGCAGCTGCGTCACCCTCCCCTTGCTGCTGCTGTTGGTGCTGCTGCTGTACGGCAGCGTTTTGCTGCTCCTGCTGCCGGATGGTCTCCGGGTCCTCCTCCAACAGGTCCGGGTGCTCGCTGTCAGCACCGGGTGCACCCCGCCGACCGTAGCCTCCTCCACCACCACCACTTCCACGACCCCGCTGTCCCTGCTGCCCCTGTCCCTGCTGCCCCTGCTGCTGCCGCTGGTGCCCCGGTTGGTGCTGCGGGAGGTTCCCCGGCAGCGGCGGACCCGTCTGCGATGGCGGCGGCCCCATAAGCGCCTGGAAGTACGGCGGCAGCGATTGCTGTACGACAGTGTAGTCCGCCAACCGCAACAACCGACTCAGCAGCAGCGCCACGAACCCGCGCTGCGGGTCGTGCGGCGGCCGCTCCGCCACCCACTGCCACCTGTCCCAGGGCCACTGGTAGCTGAAGGAGCTCAGGTGGTAAGACAGCCAGGACGCCAGGCGACAGCGGAGTTCTGGATCCAGGTACGGCATGCACCCGAACAGCTCGCGCACGCATGAGGACAGCGCGCGTGCGAACTGGAAGTGCGGCACCTTGCACAGATCGACCAGCAGGGTGCAGTAGGCGGCGTGGGAGAGGGAGGCGCTGGGCAGGCGCAGCATCTGGCTGAAGAGGGCTTCGGCCACAAAGTTGCGAACGGTGGCGCGCTGGGGTCCGAAGACGGGGGCCAGGTGGTGGGGCAGCGCGCCGGAGAGGGTGAGCACGCAGGCGGTCCTGGAGGGGGGGAGGGGAGAAGGGGCGGGGTTAGGAGTTGTCGGATTAATCCGCATAGGGTTGGTCTTCTTAGGCTTATACTTGCCCTTCACCCCACCTGCGCCAACCTGGGGTTTCCTATGGTTCGGTCTGCCATTTGAACCCCGCATTTGGTGATGCCTCGTCAAACAGCTCGTCAGTTTCCTCTTTTAGCCCCCCCCCTCACCCACCCCCCCTTCTGATTCCTCCCTCCCCCCTCCCCTTCCAGTTCGGCAACTCAGTATGCGTTATCATAAAATCCAGCCTAATGCGGTGTACTTATCCCCATTTACCCCCCCGGCCCCCCCGCACCTGTCGCTGCTGAGCGCCTCCAGCGTGTCCCGCACGTACTCCTCCACCAGCAGCCGCTCCACCCCCGGCAGCTCGCCCTCCAGGTACTCGCGCGACAGCAGCCGGATGCCGCCGCGGGGAGGGAAGGCGGAGCGCACCCGCGCGGCGATGAGGGCGGCGGGCAGCGAGGGGTCGATGCCTGGGGTGGGTAGAGGGGTGCAGCAGAGGAGGAGGGAGGTGGGTGGTGGTGGTGGGCTCGCCTAACCACATAGCGCTCACTCGGCAGTTACGCACTTGCGCTTCAGTCACTATGGGGCTGTTCCCCTCCACCGCGCCATTGTCGTCTCATACCCCTCACACCCCTTCATTTCCTTCCCATGTACCCGCCCCCCTTCCTCCCCCCTGCCTTCCCCCTGCCCCTCCTCCTCCTCCTCCCTTTCCTCCCACCTGGCGGCCAGTGCGGCACCTGCAGCGGCTCCAGCCCCTCCAGTGGCTGCGCCGCCGCCAGCTTCTCCAAGTAGGGGCCGTGCGGGCCCGGCAGCACCTGCACCTCCCACGCGTTGTCTCGGCACTCGCACGTCACCGACCACAGCTCCGTCAGGAAGGAGGCGCCGCCACTGTCGCTCCTGGAGAGGGCGGGGTGGGTGTGGGGTGGGGTCGGGGCAGAAGGGGGGGGGGGTGAGAAGCGCGGCATGGGAACAAGGTGCTGTCAGGGCTGTCAGGACTACCCAACTGCCTCAATCAGCATTGTGCAGCAAGCGGCGGCTTCGGCATACACGTGAAACAGCATCCGAGGATCCCCAACCGAGCCCCATCTGTATCAGTCTCAAATCGCTCTCAAAACACCTCCATCCAGGTACCCCCCCCTCCCTCCATGTGCCACGTCACACCCATGTCACACCCCACCCCCCTACCTGGCCGCCAGGTCCTCCTCGCTGCGTGCCCCCATCATGGGTCGCAGCGCCTCATCCTCAGCCACCGGCCGAGCAGCCATGTACGACTCCACCCGCGCCAGCAGCCCCGCCAGACTCAACCCCGCACCGCCGCCGCCTTCACCCCCCATGTCCACGTCAGCAGGCGCCGCCGCCAGGTCCCGGCCGCACCACGGCAGCGCCGCCAGCACCGAGTAAACCAGGAAGTCAGACCAGGGCTGTACGGCAGAGGCGGCGGCGGAGCCGCCGCCGCCGCCACCACCCATTCCCTCCTCGTCCATACCGCCCATGGGCGGCTCCTCCGCCGCGGCGGCGGCAGCCGCCTGCGCGAGACCGTCCGCCGCCGCCGTCGTCACCTCCGTCAGCGCCGCCAGCAGCCACTCGGCGGGTACGACGTTGACGGCATGCAGTGCGGCCAGGAACCGCAGCAGCTGCTTGGCTCGGTGGTTGCGGGCGGGGCTGGGGTCGGGGGCTGCCAGGCAGTCGCGCAGGTCTGCGATAACGGCGGAGGTGACTCGGCGACTAAAGTCGGGGCGCTCGGTGTTGAGGATGCCTGGGGCGCGGGAGGGAGGGGGAGGGGGAGGGGGGGAGTGACGAAGAGGTGAGCTGAGCTGGGCTACAACAAGGATCAACGGTAAGAGGGGCGTGTGGAAGAGGGATTGGGGTGTGCATGGCGAGGGGAAGAGAGGCAGGATGGTAGGGTTCATGACAATCATGAGCTGTGTTGGTACGCCTCACCCAGCACCCCCCCCTTTCCCCGCCTTATCCCTCAGTCAGTTAGTTGTTTCCTCTTTATCCCCCTTTCCCCGCTCACCCAGCACCAGCGCGTAGTGTTGCGTCTTGAACGACACCTCCACCGCCGCCTCCACAAGCAGCCACGCCACGTTGTCGCCGCCGTGCTCCAGGTCGCGACGGCAGCTCTTGAGAAGGTCGTCGAAGAAGCGCTCGTCCGTCCAGCTGTCGCGAGCGGAGCCCTGGGGCGGAAGGAAAGAAGACAGGGAAGAACAGCGTCTCGCATCGGTCGCATGACAGCGCCGTTTACCGGTACCTTGGAGGGTTGAACCCGGGGTGTTTCTGCGGGCTGCACATTCCCCAACCCCCGGGTGTGTACGATTCCTCCTACCGGTAACTATTTTGGCTCGGTCCCCTGTCGCCTACGGTCCGTCCCTTCTCTTCATGCCCCTGCCCATGCACCCCCTGCCGTACCGTGTTACGGTCGCACACGCCGAGCAGCTTGGCCACCAGTAAGTGCTGCGGACTCAGCTTGGGCGGCTGGCCCTCGGGGCCCTCCTCGCGGCCGCGCTTGCCGCCGATGTAGCTGCGCTGGTAGCCGCTGCCGCCAGCACCCGGGCCCCCGCCCCGGCCACCATCCATTGCTGGACCGCCGCCGTGGCCACCATAGCCCCCGCCCCCGCCACCGCGGCCGTAGCCGCCTCGGCCGCCCCCGCGGCCCTCGCCGCCCTGCCAGCCACCACCTCCTCGCCCGCCGCGTCCGCCGCCCCGATGATGGCCATGCTGGTCATAGCCTCCACCGTGGCCGCCGCGAAAGGATCTATTGCCATGTTGAAATTGTCTATCACCCATGGTTTAACTGGTGTGGATAGCGGTTGTACTGGCGCCGAGCAGAGCGGCGGCCGCTGACGCGAATTGTGTTACTCTAGGTGGTAGTGAACGTTGCTAAGGCGGAAAGCTTGACAGATATGTGTTCATTAACAGGATGCGGTGTTAGTTAAAGGATAGCGTGTGCCCGGACGGTTCAAGGACTCGATCTTGGGAAGGACTTGGTACTGTAACTAGCGTTTGATGTAGTGCAGCATACTCGTCATCAATGCTACTTCCATCGAAACACGTCTGTGTGGTCAAAAGTCAGCATGGAGTCGGTAAATTGCGCAATGTACGGCACTGCCTGATCGATGGTTTTGCGCGCGAGGGAAACGAAGCACAGGTAGGTGCATACGCAGAGTGGAAAGCACGAAGAAACATGTATAGCTTTTAATGTGTGCATGGAGAAGTCTTTGACCTGCATATGCTATATGGTTGACTGAGGTTGGCAGCTGTGAAGTCCACGATTCCAGCATCTTTTTGCATGCTCTTTGCGTGCTTCTTAATTTTGCTGAGGGTAGCCTAGGAGAGACCTATGTCGCTGAAGGAGCTCAAGTCGCTGGCGCCATGGAACTGGGATGCGCAAGCCACGAAGCATCCTCCAGGAAAGGCAGCTTTGCAGGACTTCGAAAAGGTGCGTTGCAGGCTAGGTTTGACCATTAGGCGAACGGAAGCAGCTGCTATGTGTTGAGTCGTGCACTTTCGGTTGAACACCGAACGGCGCGAGTGCGCGCGCCAGTGCGTGGCGACCTATCGGCTATTAACACGTTAACTGGCATGTGTCTTGTACGCTTTGCCTCCCAACGCGCCACAGCTGGAGTCAGTTTACTGCACGAAGCGGGACAAAAAGGTGTGACTCGGCTGCGTGAGCTGGGCAGGCATTTCATCGCGAGAATTAAGAGATAAAGCTTACTTGTGTTCGAGTATTGGGGCCAGGGTGTGCGGCCTACTGGAAAAAAGCTAGAACAATAGAAAACCGGGGGCAGAGCATGTGCATGTCCAGGCGTCCATGTTGTTTGTCTGCAACGTCATAGCCACGAATTGCAGCTTTTCGTCCCCAAGTCTTCTATTCGTCAAGCTGACTCGGGCCATTGTTACCGCACTACGCAGGAGGGCCAATCCACGCAGACCCCCGGTCCCGCCAAGACGCCAAGAGAGCATCAACGGCCCGCGGCGGGAAATGAAAACATGGTGCGCCGGGCCTAAGCATCTGGTTTTCTCTCTTGCTTTGGATAGCATAGCCTTGCGCGACATCTCTAGAGCGTAGGTGCAAGAGTAGTAACGCTGGGGTTGGCGTCTGTTACGCAGGGCTGGGAGACGCCCGCATCTAGCGGCCAAGGGAGGAAGGCTGCTAGCGCAGGTACGACGAGCGGAATGGGGCTGACCAGATTATTCGCTATAAACCATGGCTCATGTATTTGTGTTTATAGGGCCGGTCATTGCTTGTGTGTGCCTCCTTAAGACCGCAGCAATACCATTTGGTGCAAAGGCGCATTGACCTTTCCTGCTTGCTCCCATCCAACACGTATGCAGTGCTCTTTTCCACGATATTCCCGCATGATGCTTTTCTCCCCTCATGCCCCATCTCCGCAGATCGAGCGCGCACCCTGCTAAAGCGCAAAGCAGCCGATTTACAGACGCCTCAGGTTCAGCGGCCCTGCCGTGGCGGTCGCGAGAGACACTCCCAGCACCCCGACTCCTCAACACCACACACCGCGTCTCAAGCCCTGCTACCTGAAACTGACGTTTCCCATTGTGCCGTGTCTGAGCACGCTGGGACCGCTCCCGCCAGCCAAGCAGCTGCGACGGCAATCACCACCGCGGCAGTCGACGCTAGCGGCGAGGTGGCCACCGGAACCATGTACGGCACGGGGACTGCCGTACTGGGGGTAAAAGCGAGCCAGACTCCGGCTCCGGTGCCGTACGACAGCTCCATGCGTCCTCCGAAATGGACACCAGCGCTGACCCGTGGGACACCGGCAGCGCTACTTGCTCCGTCGCCCTCCGTATCCGGTGGAAGTGGGGTACGGCAGCGTGGTTATGGCGGCGGCAGCGTAAGCGCAGCTTTGGCCATGCATTTTGACAGCGGCACGATGGGAGGTGGCGGCGTTTCCCGGCCGTGGATTCAGACGCCTCGGACCGCGCATGAAGCAGCAACGGCGACGAAGCAGGGCTCAGAGTCTGCTGGCGAGGCGGGTGTGACGGGGCGGCTTGAGAGGCAGCGGCAACGGCGGCAGGAAGACGTTGCAAGCGGTGGCGGCGGGGTGGGTGCGGAGGCGGCCGACTGCATGCAGGGAATCCAACATCCGGAGGAAATGATGTCGCCCAGGGCAGCCCCTGCGGGCCCAACGCCTCCTCGTCAGCCTGACGCCGATGCAAGCCGCATGCTTACCGGTGGTGCCGTACAGGAGCAGACCCTGCAGCAGCAGCAGCAACCGGCACCAGCAGACATGGACGAGCGGGGATCATTGCCCAACGAGTACGGCATGACAGCGTGTGGCTGCATGTCGGTATCACCTAGGTGCGCCGCTGCTGAGGTCGCAGGGAGCCATGTGACGGCTGTTGCTGCGACCGCGGAGGGTGCTGCTGCAACGGCAGCAGCACCCCGGCCTTCGTCACTCCTCAAGCTGACGCCCACCACCCACAAGCGCTTTTTGCTGCTGGGGGCTGTGGTGGAGGGCATCTCCTCCGCCCTCCCGCGCCCACGTGGGCCCAGCAACGGCGGCGACAGTCCCATGGGTCGGTCACACGGCTTGGCGGCGGCGGGAGCAGCAGCACATGCCAGCCAATCCGCTCCCGCTGTGTACGGTCAAGAGGACGGTCAGGAGTATGACCCAGCTGTAGCACGTCCCTCCCCAGCGGCTGCCTCTCATGATGCAGCCCCGAAGTCTGCCTTGCACCCCGATGGAGGGGCCCGGGGGAAAGCGCTGTCCGGACATGCGGCTGCAAGTGCAGAGGCGGCGCCGCAGCTCACACCTGCATCACCTGCGTCTGATGAGGCAGCTGCTGCCATGCTCTGCCTGAGCCAGGCAGGCGGGCGGGCCGCCGGCTGGGCTCAGATGGGGCATGGCAGGATGGACAGCGGCCTAGCAGCTGACCCGCATGGTGGGGACAGGGCGGCCCCCGCCGCTCCAACGTCGCAATCTCCCCTGACCCAACGACAAGCGGCAGCAGCAGCTGCAGTGGCTGGCGGCAGCAGCAGCGGCGCCGTATCTCGTCCTGGTGAGGACCCCGCAGCGGCCGCCGTGCAGGGCGGCGTCCTGGCGCCCTTCCCAGCGGCGCCAACCGCAGCTCTGCAGCCGGGAACTGCCGCCGCCGCAGCAGGTGAGCTGTCCTCGCTAGCAGCCTCCGGGGCCGCTGCAGCACAGGCCGCCGCTGTGGCGACCTCCTCGCACGCGTACATCGCCCCCGGCAGCAGCAGCCGCATCCCTGCAGCTGCAGCAGCTGCTGCCAGTCACCAACACCGCGATCACCAGGGGCAACCGAACGACCCCGCATGCAAGGACGCCCAGTCCAACCCCGCTGCAGCAGCAGTAGCACAAGGTGACGCCGGAAAGCTGGCCTCGTCTGTAATTCCGTTCCCCCGGCTAGCCGGCATCGCCCCCCGTCCCAAGCCCACCAGCAACCCGGGGCCCGCAGCCCTACCTGCTGCAAAGGCGGCTAGTGCTAGTCTGTGCCAGGCTGCACCTTCCCTGGGAGCAGCGCAACCAGCACAGCAGTCAGCAGTCGTCGGAGCAGCGGTGCCCCGAGCACCGGAAGCCTTGTCATGCCAATTGCCAGAGCAGCAACGATCGCAAGAGCCACAACAGGAGCCACGACAACAGCAGGAGCAACACCTGCAGCGAGCAGGGTCGGCTGGCAACCAGGTCTCGGCGGCCGGGGGGCACCCACATCCCGCTGCCATAACCGGTTCCCCGCTTGTGGCAACGGCGACACCACCAATAGCCCCACAGTGCGCCGCCGTTGCTGGAGCTGCTACTGCAGACGCCTCCGCTGCTGCTGGTACTGCTGTTACAGGCGTTGTTCCCACTCCTGCTGCTGCTGCTTCTCCCGCGCCGCCTAGCAGCACGCTTGCTGACCAACCTGGCCCGTCCTCATCGGCCCCAGCACCAGCAGCAGCGGGTGTAGCTCAGTTGAGTCCGCAGCAGCTGCTGGTGCTGGGGCAGCTGCTGGGCTACTTCCGAGTCGCGGGGTGCCGCCACCCGGCAGCCATGTCGGCAGCGGAGCTGGTGGCGGCGATCACGGGGTTCTGCAAGGTGGGTGGTGCGGGTGGGCGGGTGGGGGTGGGTGGTAAAAAGAGGAAGCGGGCGAGCTGTCTGACGAGGGTTGCTGCACACACGGGGCGAGCAATGAAGCAGTGGGCGGGTGGGCGGGTGGGTGGGTACGAGCAGATGTGGCGGGCAGAGGAGGAGCGCAGCAGCAGGGTGTCATGGAGGGCATGCTAGGGGCCATCGGACAGCGTAACACACGCGTCTTGCGACCGTTTTCAGGCCATACTATGTTAGGTGTGCGCGTTACAGGAGCACAGACCCATACGCATGCATCCACTCATTGCTCGGTAGCGCTCTTGCCGCCCGCTTACCTACCGCTACCGCTACCTTCCTGCTCCCATCCGCAGTCCGCCAGCATCCCCCCGGCGCCCGCCAACATCCAGACCCTGGCCTCCTGGCTTGGCGCCCTGCTGGCCTTGGAGCGCCAGGAGCCTGCCAGGCCGCATGCAGAGGCGGGGCAGCAGCAGCAGCAACAGCAACAACCATGCAGAGGCAGCGCAGCAGCAACTACTAACACCCAGGAAGAGCCTGTTCAGAGGCCGCAGGAGCCTCACGGCCCCGGTGCCATGCAAGACCTGCAAGGCCGACCAGCTGAGGCGAAGCTAGCGATGCAGGTGCAGCCGGAGCCGCCCGCGCCTGGCAGCGTGATGGACGACGACAAGGCAACAAGCCCCTCGCAGCAGCAGCAGCAGTCGTCACAACAACCGCCACAGCCCACCTATGCTCCTGAGCGCAACCCGCCGCCTGGCGACCCACATCACCCTGCGGCAGCGGAACAGCGGCTGCAGGGGCAGCAGCAGCAGCCCTGGCAGCAGCAACTTCATGCAGACAACGACTGCACGCAACGGCAACCGGCTGCGGTGCCCTGCACTGCTGCAGGGGCGAATGAGAACGGCTGCAGGGGTCAGGCCCCGGTGGGGGCCCTCAGCGACGACGCTGCCCCACAACCTGCGGGCGCCTCACAAACCGAGCGCCAGTCGCCGATCCCTCCCCAGCAGCAGCTGCCGCGGCACATGGACGGCCCGGCTGCCATGCCTCCACCGCCGGCCTTGGGACCGCCGCCGTCGCAGCAGCGCTTGTTGCAACAGCCTGAGAGCATGGTCCTCTTGCCACAACAGCAAATAGAAGAACGGCAGCACCAGCAGCAGCAGCGAGGACACGAGTCGGAGGCCACAGGCGCGTTCGAACTGTCCTGTGAACACCAGCATCAGCAACCGCACGTGCAACCCCAGCCGCTGCTTCCGCACCCCGAGCAGTCCGAGCGCCGCATCATCGCCACAACTGCTGCTGCCAGCGGTGCCAAGTACACCCCCATGGACATCGACACCGCCTCGCCTCCCTCCTCCCTCGCCCGCTGCCTCCCCATCCTGCCCCTGCATCCCGGGCGCCCGCTGGGCCCCACCCCCCTGGAGCAGCTGGAGTCGGACTGGCTGCGGCTGCTGTCCCCCGCTGTCACCGCCCTGTACCACCAGTTGGAGAGCTGCCAGCAGGCGCTGAGGGCGGCCCTGCTGGGCACCGCGGCGGCAGCAGCAGCAGCAGCGGTAGCAGCAGCCACCCCGGTGACAGCATATGGGTCAGCTGCTGCATCACACCCGCACAAGCAGCAGCCAGCGTCATTCCCCGGGGAGCAGGCATCCAATGTCGTGCGACAGCAGCCGGCAGCAGCAGCTGCATGCGCGCCGCCACGATCGTCGGTCGAGGAGGCTGTGGAGCAGGAGCAGCCTCCTGCACCTCTACAACCTCAGCAGCAGCAGCAACAACAACAACAGCCGGGCGCATTGTACGCTCAGCAGTTGCTGATCGCACTCCAGCAGCAGCGGCAACGAATGGCTGCTGCTGCGGCAGCAGCAATGGATGTGGGTGCAACCGGAACAGCGTCGGGGGCTCCAGTAGCAGCAGCACCGATAGTGGAGGCCGACAAACGCCAAGAGCAGCTGCAGCTACAGCCCAATACGACATCGCACAGCCATGCATGCGGCATTTCTTACCTCTTTCCCGGTGCAGCTGCTGCTGCACTTGCCAGTCACATGACTGCAGCGGTATCGGCACCCGTCGGGCCCATGCGGACCCCTGCCCAGCCCGCCCAGCCGCAACAGCTGCCGCTAACAGAGCAGCCGGCAGCGCAAGCCACGGCAACGACATTGCAGCAACGCATGTCGGCCCTAGGCAACGGGCGGCGTTATGGGTCGGCCTTCCAGACGGTGCGGCCAGCAGCAGCTGGTACGGCGGCGGCGGCGGCGGCGCGGGCTTCTGTGGCGCCAGCGCCTCAATGTACGACATCCACCTCGCCGCCGCTACTGTCGTCACAGCAAGCTAAGCCGCAAGGGCAAGGACGCTTGGCCTCTGTCCCGTCCATGCCAGAACAGCAAACCACTGCAGCAGATTTGATGGCGGCCTGCCTACCCCACCAGCAAGCCCCTGCTGCGCTTGCTCATGGTGCTTCTGCCGCGGCGCCCATTGCTGCTGCCTCTGCTGCTAATACTATATCCGGCATCCAGAGTAACGGCACAAACGGTGAAGCCCCCCTGTCAGTGTACGAGCACCACCACAGCCGCCTCGCTGTCGCCCACAGGCCTCAGACGGTGACACCGCCGTTGCTGCCGGCATGCGAATACAGCCAGCTGCAGCAGCAAGGCCCGCCACCCCAGCTCCCTCCGGACTCTGCCGTACCCGTGCCCCCACCTGCCGCGCCAACGGCAGCAACTGCTAGCCCGCTCCCTGCGACACTCAATTCCGGCATGCTGCAGCCCTCTCCTGCTGCGCCGCCGCAGCCACCACCGATGCAGCCTTCACCTTTCCCGCCCGCGGCAGCACCGTATCTTCACACGGCTGCAGCCGGCATGTACGGATACCAGCGTCCGTTAAGTACCGGTAGTGGATGGCCCATGCCGTACGGCCATTCGTACGGCTGGTATCCTCCGTCGTACAACCCACCCGCCGCCGCTGCTGCCACCGCCGCTGGCGCGGCATACGCGCATGCCGCTCGTATGGCCTACTACGGAGCTGTCGGCGCCGCTGCATCAACGGCAGCAGCAGCGGATTGTCCTAGTGCTGCTGCAGCCCTTGCAACCACCGAACACTCCCCAGCTGCAGCGGCTGGTGCGACGCTCCTGATGGAGCAGCTGCCGTCATCGTTGCGTCACCGCTCGTCTTCACAGTCCTCCGGCGTACCGGGCGCACGGCCGCCCGCTGCCGTGGGGCCTCTTGCCAGGTCTGCGGCCAATGGGACTGCGGCCAAGCAGGGAAGGCTACGAGGCAAGCTGGCTGGGAACAGGGCGGGGGGCAGCAACCCTTAGGGCCCTTCGTTGTAAACCCGGTGATGGCAGTGCTGGCGGGCATGACTGGTGATGCGGAGGTGTACATATACATGCATACAGGACAGGCGAGGACAGTTCGGGTGGCGTGGTGCAAGGTTGCGAGTTGGTGAGCATCCGCATGCGTGCGAGTTGCCGGGCGACCGTGTCCAGGCGAGGGCCACGTGGCCACGTGGTGTGATTTAACTGGAGTCGAATGAGCCGGTGTGGTGGAGGGAGTCGAGTTGGTCTGGAGGGTTGGGCTGCTGCTTCCGGGGTTGAGATGCAGATGGGGTTAAGAGGGGCGCCCGTGTTGGCATGCCAGCAGCCGCTTCTGGATGCGGTAGCAAAGCGATGGCCCGTGGCTAGGACTCAATGAGTTATGGTGGGTCGGGTGAACGAATGTGCCCAGCCAAGGACCTGAGGCGAAGAGGTGCTGATGACAAGGGCATGCACACATGCAAGGGCTAGCATGGTAACGTAGTGCGACCTGCACTCAGGCTGCACACACCTGCACTCAGGCCGCGCGAGGGGAAGGTTGCAACATATTGAACGGATCGCTGCCCAAGCGAATCTCGAGACCGCGCATTCGCGAATGGGAAGTTAGGAGTTGTCTTGTGTGAACTACTGGCCTAGTACAAAGCATGTGCGGTGCAAGTGCCTCGGCATGCTGCCACTAAGACTAGCAAGAGGAAACCGGGTTGTTTGTGTGCACGCGAGTCCGACTTGCGAGGTTAAGGGGCCCATGCCTCGCATACGGTAGCATGTCCCCCTAGGGCACACAGCCCGAATGACACATTGAAAGTGGTCTGAGTTGCCTGGCGGCAAGGCATGCACGGTAGGTGAGGGCGGTTCACACAGTGGGTGCTGTGAAGCGAGCGGACAAGCAACTGACAGGGGGGGTGGGTTGCCTGATGGACAGTCCCGCTGTGCGTTATGTGCTGCCGAGCGCTGCAACGAGGTGTTTTGGAACAGACTGCATTCTGGTTTTGGTGTCACAGTCTACACTATTGTGTGTGGTTCTACATTTCAAAGGCTGGCAGACGAGGCAGTGAATGCCCTTTGCGATGCGTATGTCCCGCGGGTCGGTGCTGCACTTCAAGTACCCGTACAGCGACTCAAGGTCCCAGCCCCGAGGCTTGGTTAGCACCTTCAGAACCAGATTGCCTGAAGATGGCGTCAGGAGATGGACGTAAGCAGCAGATAGGAAAGTACGGTATCCCGCTCCACGGCAACATCCATTCAATGAATACCACAAGTTCCTAGATTTGCCAAAATCCACACATGACATTGTTTCGAGACCAGCAAAACCTTTAAGCACCAGTTACTTGTAAACAGCTAGTTAATGGTACAAGACGCGCAACCCAGCCAAGACACGTCATATGACGACTTGGTGTGGACACAGCTAGCATGACGAGCCCAACGCTGCCGCCTTCACCAGCATGCTTATCCGAGCAACGCCTCAGCACTCTGGCCGGCTGGCACAGTCACAGTAGCTCCTAAAGCCGGCGGTAAAGCCCTTATGGTCGGACACCTCAGGCTTACAAAGCCCAGCGCATGTGACGTCTCATGACTGTTACAAGCACCTGCCAGCACCCGCAATACAGTCAACATCCCGAACATTACCGGTATATAATCCATGGTTGCGTAGGCTGGTAACCGTCCATCTAAAACGAACGAACCCGGTCATGTTTTCACGTGCCCGCACGAACGCCCCAGCAGCAGCAGGCCCCTTGCCAACCCAGGTAGCCAACCGCAGCATGCATGGGGCACCGCAACAAGCTAGCTAGCTCGTGCGCGCCTGCAGTCATGCATATGCGTACTGCACTGCAGGCGACCAGCACCCTTCGCTTCGCGGGAAAAGTAAGTGTGAGATGAGTCCGTACCACCGTCCAGCCGTACATACACCACGCCACGCCACGCCTGGCCCCTCTAGCAAGCAGGGTGCCTCACCGCACGAAGCCGAGCAAGCAGCTTACCAGGCAACCCAGTGCTCCGATCACCAACTTTAGCATGCACTTAAGTACGGGATACAGCGACCGAATGAACCTAAAGTAGAGGCACAGATTGCAATGCGAGATTGGCACGGCGACAGGCAAGTTTAGCGTAATCAACCATGCCCACTGGATCACCTTTGCCCGCCGCCCGTGCTGTGGCACCCCCAGCCGCCGCAGCAGCCAATGAATGCTCTTCCGATAGAGGACAAGAACGGGCGCGTATGGTAGACCGTCCAACATTACTATCAGCGGCACAGCTGCAAAGGAGAGCAGCACAGCCGCACGGACGCACCAGGTGAGGAAGGCCAGGATCTGGTGACCCATGGGTCGCGGTGCTGCTGCCGCTGGTTGCTGCCGGTGCCGCCAGGAGCCCGCCAGGCACAGCCAGGTCAGTTGGAACAGCAGCAGGAAGTGGAGGGTGCCAAATTGGGACATCACAACCTCGCAGCAGGCTAGCAGATCGAAACGAGCCCGCTGCAGTAGCAAATCAACTATCCGGACGTGCCCCTTCTTGGCTGACCTAACGGCGAAGAAGCTGCTGAGTGCACCCCCCGCATCTGCCCCCGCAGCCAGCAGCACCTCCACCACTTCCGTGCGGCCGTGCGTGCATGCCTGGCCCAGGCCTTGCGTACTGGGTAGAGCGCCTGCGTCCAAAAGCTGTCGTACGACGCCCGCGTGACCGTACTCGGATGCTAGGTCCAGAGCCCCGTTCTGATGTGCGTTGGCATCTGCACCGGCAGCCAGCAGCGCCGCAACCACCTCCCCAGAGCCCCTGCATGGGGATGGATGCATGAGCGGCAAGGGGACATGCATGGGGCCCAAAGGGTGGCAGAGGAGGAGCCGTTCAGAGTCATGGGGGCGCCTGCCTGGGGGCATACGTCACGCATGGTGAGGAAATAACAGCGGAAGAGGCACTGGCAAGGTTGCAATGGCTCAGGGTAGGCGGTTCTACGCAGGACTGGGGGTGTCAAACGTGTCAAACTGTTTTGGGTCTACTTATACTTACTTACAATTCTGTGTGTTCCGCATGTCACCCTCCACCACACTAGGACATGGTGAGAGATGTGTGAGGAAGCAAGCATGCAAGAACGAAGCGACCCAGATCACTGTATCAGACCAAAGGGAACACCTTACCCGCCGGCATAGGCATAGGCATGTGGCAACTCTACTCACCACTTCGATGCCTCCTTTAATGCCTGGTTCGCAATGACCCGTGGGTCAGCGCCCGCCTCCACCAGCTCCCGCACCACCTCCGCTTGGTTGTACTTGGCGGCCGCAATCAGAGCGTCCTCAAAGGCTGACGAGGCCACCTCCCCGACCTTTCCTGCTGCCCCCGCCACCGCTGCCCTCTCCGCCACCTCCCGCAGCCCCCACCGAACCACATGCAGCTGGCCCCAGCGTGCCGCCTCGCGCAAACAGTCCCTAACGACAGCGGGAGCTGTGCTCTGCGGGATCCGCCGCAGAAGCCACCGCAACGTGTCCAGAGGGCCCGCCGCGGCCGCTTCGGGGGCGACAAGCATGGGGACAGTGCGGTCGGGCAAGTCTGCGCTTCCCGCAGCCGGCGGAGTCGCTGTGTTGCTTTGCGTCTGTTCTTCCTCGTCATTGTTGTGCTTGCAGTGCTCGTCCAGCGCCTTCATGATCTGCAGCACCCTGCTGTCGTGCTCGGCTGCAGGAAGGTCGGCCAGCACGAACCTGAGCAAGCCGGGGCAGGTGTAGACCTTGAGGATTGCATCTTGGGCGCCGTAGCGAGCCCTCAGGTAGGTGCTGGCGCCGACCGGCTGTTTGATCGCGGCCTGCCAGGCATCTCGAAGCGCGCGGCACCGGTGGCCGCCTCGGGTAGGATGCGGACGAGGAGGTGTTCAGGAAGGCGAAAAAGGAAACCTGGCTCTTCGGAGCTGAGCTGCTCCTGCATCCTAGGTTTACTCGTTGTTAAGGAAAATGGCGCAGTCGAGGACAAGCCCAGGTGATAGTTTGTAAAACGTGGAATATATGTACTATTTAACAATCAAGAGCTACGTTTGCCTTTAGCACGGAAATATGCGTTTGCGCTGGAAGCGGCAGTGCGGCAACAGATAGGGTGTGCCAACGTTCTGGCCTTACTGAAATTCATCATAAGAGTATATCATCGTAGCTACTTACTGCTAAAGGTTAAAGGTAGAAAAGGGAAACGCCGAGCTACATGGACTTCGATGAAAACCAGAATCCAAGAAACCAGAAACCTTCAAGCAGCAACGTAGAATCCTTGAGCATGCGCTTTCTTTCGACGCCACCTTAACTCTTTACAATATCTAACTTAAGACAACGCTAAGGTTCATGCCCAAGTATGCCCTCCGTAAAAGGTGCGAGCAACTTTTAACGAACCGTCAGTCGCCGCAGCAGGTTTGCTAAGCCAAGCTACCGTACTCCTATTCAACCGCAAATGAAGGAATACTTCCATATATCAGGCGGATCCATAGTTTCGTGGGGACGCTGTTTCCTTGCTTGGTACGTAGCTTGACAACCGCTTGTTCTGTGCCGCAAGCTCCGTAACACCAAACGCAACCCAGCAAGCGCATGTGCGCCTCGATGTCATGCAGTCCCACAAAGTGCCTCCTGCCCTCCTCCAAAGTGCTCCTCACCGGCCCTGCCGCCGTCGCTCAAAGTAAGCCCTAGCCATCCACAGGATCTGCGAGATCGTTAGCCAATCTGTGAGGCGCAGCCCTTTCGCCATGTCCCGCTGGCTGGGGGCGACATACCGGTAGGCCAGCCCAGCAACCATCGAGACCAGAACCACCTCCTTTCCCCGCTTCAACAACCAAACGCTGATCCCGTACAAGGCCGACACGGCCTCGTACGGCAGCAAGAGCACCATACCGCTAGCTGAATGAACGAGCAGCACGGCCACATAGACGCACCAGATGATGAAGCCCAGGATATGACGACCCATGGGTCGCGCTGCTGCTGCTGCTGGCTGCTGCCAGTGCCGCCAGGAGGCTACTAGGCACAGCCAGGTCATTCGGAACAGAACCGCGAGCCTGCAGCTGGTTGACAGGAAGATGAGCGCGATGGCGCAAACTAACAGGTCGAAGTGCCCCCTCTGCAGCAGCGCTTCCACTATGTCGGGGCGTCCCTTCCAGGCAGACTCGAGAGCGAGGCTTTGGCCGAAGCTGCTGCCGAGATTCACCCCGCCGCCCTCACCACTCGCAGCCAGCAGCTGCCCCACTATTTCCCAGTGTCCGCGCTTGCAGGCGAGGAGCAGCGCAAGGTTGCCCTGCGCGGTGGGGTCAGCTCCCGCCCCCAGCAGCTGTCGTACGACGGGCGCATGGCCGTACATGGATGCAGCAACCAAGGATCCGGATTGCCGGGCGCTGGCATCCGCACCGGCAGCTAGCAGCGCCGCAACCGCCTCCTCAGAGCCCCTGGGCGGGGACGGATGAGCGGTAAGGGGACATGCATGGGGCCCAAAGGGTGGCAGGGGAGGGAGAGGTTCAGTGTCGTGGGGTCAGGAAGCGACCCCTTGTGGAGGAAAAGGGGCATGCCAGCAGGCTACTGGGGCGGACGCGAAAAAGATAGGACGATGCTGGGAAAGGTTAAGAGCTCTGTGTAGGCGGTTGTGCGAATTGTCACCCTTCTTTTAATGCATGAAAACACGCACGGTGCTCCACAGGGGCCCCATAACTCGCCCTTCTCGATCGCCCACATAAGAGCCTGTCAGGTAAGGTGTGACCAACAAAGCATGTAAACAGCGACCCAAATGGCTGCATGACAAAAGGTGCAAAACGAAAGCCTCTACATGGCAACGGCACTCACCAAATTGAACCCTCCAGCAGAGCCTCATCGTCACCGACCCGTGGGTCAGCGCCCGCCTCCACCAGCTCCCGCACCACCTCCGCATGGTCATACTTGGCGGCAGCAACCAGCGCGTCCTCAAAGGCTGACGAGGACACCTCTCCGCCACTCCCTGCTGCTGCCCCCGCCACCGCTGCCC